TTTTTCCTCTGTTGTTTTGCAACCACATACCTTTCAAACCCATCTGCTCTTCAGAACTCTTGGCAAAAGAACATGATAACAAAGGAAAAAGCCTGAGATTTGCTGAAGAGGCCACAGCTGCAGGGATGGATCACCAAACGCTCTGGCTTCAGCCGATATTCAGCCCCTCTGTAGACATGCCGGACCGCTGTGCCCGATGGCTGGGAGCTAACACCAGCTGTTCAGGTGTCAACATCTCCTTTTCTCTTCCAGTGATGAGGATACTTCTGTGCAGAGAGGTTTAAGGGCACCAGCACAGGGGCTGCATGAACAGGGGGATGCATCTGGGCCACATTTTAGCAAAACTAGAAAAACAACCTTTATCACAAGCACCGTTTTGGTGCCCTTTGAGCAAAAAAAAAAAAGAGGCAGAACTGGTGGGAAGCCGTGGTCAGCTGGGGCACCTGGTGTTTGCATCGGCCTTGAACTCACCTCTAAAAATGTCTCTCAGCAATGCATGGTGCATCCCCTGCTCTCCAGCATCCCCAGCCTGGGTTCACTCTTGTCTGCCATGCAAACTGGATGGCGCACACTTGGAAAGGGATTAAAAGCATCACAAGGTTGTTGATTCACCACTGATTTACCACAGGAACCTTCATAATAATTCTTACCATGTAGTTTAATGTCCACAGAATATTCTTCCTCTTGAAAACTGTCAAGCTTGGAAACAGAACTGCTTTTAGAGTGGCATGAGAAGAGCAAAATCCTGCTCAGGTCTTCGCATCGTGGGCTGCCGCTTGTGATCCCTTGGGAGCTCACAGCTGTTTCTGGGGTTTCATCCAGGGCGTTCGCAGCAGGATCCCAAAACATCACAGTTAGAACTGCCTGTACAGCTGCTAACAAGCTAGTTAAACACCGGATAAGAAAAAATGACAAGTATTGTTGTTACACTTACATACTCCCATGGGTATCATGAAGCCAAGCTTTCAGTTTATCAGGGAACTGAATTTAAATAGTTTTTTTCAAGGTGCCAAAAAAGGTGGCAGATAAGGATGCCAAGTTACTATAGTAACCATGAGAAAAGTGGTGATTATCAGCAATACCACATAGAAAAGACAGACTGGATTGTCTTTTCATTTTACATGTAGCCCAGTGCTTAAAAAAAACAAGCCCTTTTCTAAAATAAAGAAATACCACAGAAAAATAACTTGAATATGAAATGCATAATGCAAAATTATTTTCAAGGATTTTTCCGCCTGTGCAACTTTGCCATTTGACCCAAAGTGTAAAGGATGTGCCCCTAAACAGAATGCTTTATGGCTGAAGGGTATGTGAATAGTAAAGCATGACTTCTCATGTTTTCTTACCTAGTAATCATGGCAGCAGAGGGGAAAAATCAATATTGATGTCCTTAGGACAGGGTGTGTTCTTTGTTTGGTATAATGTGGCTCACACGTACACATAGCACTTGGGTACAAGTGACAGTACCACGAGATCAAAGGTTACAAAGTCCTAGCAGCCGCTTGGAGGAGTCCGCGGCGGTGCTCGCACGTACCAGGGTGCCTGTAACCTTGCAACTCAATGCTGCTGCTGCCCATAGAGATCTAAAGGCTGAAACTTGGTTATTTGGTTGGGCTTTGGAGAAAAATCTCGGTAGATGGACCTAAGGCAAAAAGAATGAGAGAAATAAGCAGAATCATTCCAGTGACACAGAAACACACTGCTCTGGGCTGTGGCTAAAAAGTGTTTTAAAGATTTTTTTCTTCCTCCTCAACTACCTGGAAGCCGGTTGAATGGGGTTTTTTTAGGAACTGGAAAAAAAGCAGAGATGTCTGTCACACCTCAAGTGTGTAAGGAACACAGTAAGGCCTGAGAGACCAATTGATCGACTTGTGATCTGCTGACTCCAGCAGCTCTACCAAGCTATCTTCAATTCCTCTATTTTCAATGCACATCTAAGAAACATTAATGAAGCCTCACTAAAATTTACTGCATTTCAAAATGTTCTCAAAAATCATAACTAATGCTGGGTCTGTAGAAATAAATCCCTGCAGACAGTTTCATTAACCCGAAACTTTATGCCCAGACACGGGTCTTTTTACCTGTTGGAAAGCGCACTTCTCATGGACTAAAACATTGCACATGACTGCGAGAAGCCAATCTTTGTGTTCTTCATCACTTGCCATAAATGCTGGCTTTGACAAATTGGATAAACAAAAAGCATGCTGTGTGCCAGCAGTGCTTTAGTTTGAGGTTCACAGAATGATGATTAAGAAAAACACTGTGAGCAAAACTTAGTTCTTGTAGCTAAGCCTTCCGTGCCGCCCAACTCACAGGTGTTGTTCACAGCATTATGGCAATCAATCCCCGCGGATGTTGAAGACATAAAGCTGCTAACTAGAACACAAAGGGCAAGGATCCCAAACTGCTGATTTTGAAAAGCAGGACTTACCTATAAAATACTATCGTGCTAATGACAGGAAAAGAGAGTGCTATCTGGACTTGCCTATGAACCTGTCTGGAACAGACTCACCCTGAACCTAGCGCTGCTCCCCGCCTGCCTCCTTATCCCATTAAAGATGGGGGTAAGAGTGTGGAGTCTCCAAGGACTCCCTTTTGGCCAAGCTTTGGATGCCCACTGGTACACTTCTATGAGAGACATTAATGTTTGCCAGCTGTGAAGCCCGATCAAGCATATCTGCCCAGACCGCCGCTGGCAGACAACCCGTACAACTCGTTGGAGCTGTGCAGGCTTCTGACTGGTAAATAGCACGCAACAGTTTACAACCAGTTTTTTGTAGTTTGTTTTTTTTTTTTTGGTTTTTTTTTTTTTTTTCAATTTCCAAAGACAGCAGTTATCTCGGTAGCATCAGTGACCCAGTCTGGATTCGCAGTGGTGCCCTAGGACATCCAACCACTCCTGTGAGACACGGGGCTAGGAAAGGAAAATTAACAATAAATTTTAAATAGCCCTCGCCACACATACAGGGCGCATGGTCCTGATCGCTTCATGATGCCAAAAAGAAAGTGGTTAAATACACACAGGCATGTACAAGCTAACATCTGATTTTTGAAGGTCAAAATCATGATTTCATTGAACTTTTAAACTGATTATGGCATTAGCAAGAAGAGGTACAAATCTCTCTGGGAGAAACAGGCTATGGCAGAGTAAGTAAATTATCTCAACACAGTATCTGTCTTCCTGTGGATTTCACTGCTACTCTTACTTGAATCAATTTGTGATGACATGTTTGTACCTGCCACAGAAGCCAAATACACAATCTGATCTTATGCCAAGCTACTATTAACAACTGCATTTTCAATTGATTCTAGGCTATTCATTAACTGGGATCCATAATTACAAATAATTTACAGACATATAATTTTAAATCACTTGCCAGTGAGCTTACTAAGCTCACTTTATGACATTCAAATACATTACTCTTAAAAATTCACTGAGTAATCAGCTTGTAAATAATTACAGTGGAATAGCACTGGATATAATCAAGTAGAAACGTAGAACAAGAATCACCAGAAATGTCTATAGATCACTTTTGCTGTGTGATTTTGACATTCCCTTCAACTGTCTCCAGAAATCCGTTAGGTACTGAACTGGTGGAGTCCAAAGCTGCTCCACTAACCCAACTCCATTACAACACAGCTCCTTGGGCTTCTTGTTTCATGGGCAACCCCTGCCCCACACCTTTTCTTCAATACCAGGCAGCTGATTTTTTAAATGATTTATTTACCTTTTGGGCAAGTGTCCTGTTGGCTGCGGGGGGCACTAGTGGTGAGCGGCACTGCATGTTGTTGCTGAACCTCCCTTGCTCTGGGGCTGGAAACACCGGGCACTGCTTGGAGCCAAGTAGCAGCCATGGCAATGCAGAAACATCAGGATCAGGTTAACTGGTTTTTAGAGCAGACAAAGCTTGACATGTCTCCATGCACAGTATTTTATTCATTTCATATAATGATTTCATTTTCAAAGGCTACGTACGGTGTGGTTTATTTCTGTAGTATTTCTCCATGGTCAATAGGGATATTTTATGTACCATAGAAAAAAAAAAATTGCACAGTGATGCAGGCAATTTAAATATCTATGTTGGCACATTAGGACCCTCATTGAAAACTGCACTGAAACCCAATAGAGATGGGTTAAAGAAATCATATTCTTTTATTGCAAGGTGTAATGGAAAAATGCAAACATATAAGACCTACACTCTGAGCACAGCTTCCCATATGAATCATATACGCATCTTCTTGCCTTACATGAAACAAAGCTCCAATTTTTGAGTGTTGAAGCAATCATTCTTACTGCTCTTCAGTCCTATATTGAATTACATCAGTAAAGTAGACAGTAGCTGGTACTCTCAGAGCCTGCCCTATTTACTTGTCATCGTCTAGATTTATAAACTGCCCATGCACACACCTTAAAGTACACTGCACTGTACACATTATACCTGCCTACAGCTCTGACATCATCCCATTACATTGTAATATGCAACAGTAGAGAATTTCTTGAAGACGAGGAAAATACTGCTTTCTCTGATGACTAAGGGAGAAAGTGAGCTTATGAGATAGAGGCTTTTGAATAACACACTGTATATCTTAGCGAACAAAGAATAAGGTAGCTCAGAACCAATTAAAAATATACAGTAAGCAAGTAATGAAAAAAATTAATTTTATTTGAATAAAACCATAATTTACAGCTGAACAACAACACCCTCTTGATCCAACTTCATTTGTTTCCATATAGAACCTTTGAATATTGGAAATAAATTAGACTAACAAATAAATGTCTTAGTCACAAGGAACTTTTATGTTATGTGATTTTCCACTGCATTACAACTTAATAAAAAACTATAAAAATAAGAGCTATTTACAAAATATATTCACTTGCAAAACTACTGGTTAATTCAGGTTTTAAGTTACATGATAAATTACACAGGTCAGTCACACTTTACAAACAGTTAAAAGATAAACCTACTCTGAACACAAACCAATATCCTCTCATGATCTGACTATGCCAATTCATAGTACTTCCCAGAATTTGGATCAAAGTAACAGTTCAGACATGGATCATACAAAAGTGTCAAAACCTCCTCATCATCTTCAGCATTGAGGTCATCTTCACCTGTGTTAAGAGTGAAAAGTAAGAATAAATAATTTTTATTCACCTAGACAATAACATGGAAATACCTTTCTGTCAGATGTGACCGAATTTTCTTTAAAGTGTATAATCTTTTGACTTCTGAACTGTTACCTTCAAGATAACAGCAATTTTTTTTTACATTCCTGAAGACTTGTATTTAGTTGAGGTTAAATGATGTCAGCTAGAGCCTGCTTAACAACTGGACTTTACAAAGTCCAATGGACCAGTTCACCAGAAGTACCTTTACTGATAGTGTATCAAAGTATTCCTAAGTGATATTTTTCTTAATCAATAATGTTTTAGTACAAAGACAGTCAGTGTGTACTTAAGAATGAAAGAATTTGAATGTCTGGTATCCAATATGTCACCTAAATTCCAGTATAGGTAAATCTGTACAAAACAGCTTTTAATACCAGAGAGGAAATAAGATTCTTTCAGAAAACAAAAATTTAAATCTAGGTTGTATAAAGTTATGTAAAATGCAAGAACATTTTCAGGTAACAGAAATGAATCCTTAGCCTAAAATACACTGGTAAAGCCATACAGACTTAACACTACAAACGCTTTATATATTGTAGCTCCTTTTCTAAGCCTGTCTATCTTTCATATAAGCTAAATCTAAATTACATGATCTATAACTTTTCGATAGGGAATAATTCACAGCTGAATGCAATCTGTATCTCGAATTTCATCATAAATGTTCATCTCGTTCTCAGACTGCTAATACAGACCAAATGCTTTGTATGCCCTAACACTTCATAATAAGTAATGGCCTGTTATGCTAACAGCAGCAGTTTCACTACGCTGGGAATCTATTTACAGCCAGGACCACACGACGATATATAGGTTACATTATCTAGAGACCAGAAAGTAGGCTGGTGCATTTAATGCATATGGAAGAAGTGTGCACTTTATCGTTTGGGAAGAGATTTCATTTTTGTTTCCTCAGTAGCATTAACAAATGCCACCAGAAAGAAACTGTCTCTTACTGCAACCAAAGGTAAAAAGGTAAAGCTAAATTGTTGCCCTTCTTGCTGTGGCTACTTCATCAGGCCTGCTAAGCTAAATGAGGTTAACTGAGATATTTTGTTTGGATAGCTCTTGGGAAAAATTATGCCGTGCAGAAAGAAGGTGTAGGTCCTTCTCTACACTTCAGATCATAGTAAACAAGCAAATGGTATTCATGCCTCATTCTCTCACACAGCCTTACATTTTCACCTGAAACCACATTGTTATTTCCATTGAATTCCTCCTTTTATTATTTTGCTTTTCCCTGCCTATTCTTTTCTTAAAAATAATTCTCTCTTCTTCTCTAAGCTTAAATCTCCTCCCCTCTCTACCTAGGAACTGGCCTCTCAATAGCAATAAGAAATTCTTCGGACTCCTCAGGGGGG